CAGAATCTGGAAAAAACCTGAGTGCCCAAGAACAGATGACTGGTTAAAGAAACTTTGGTACATTTATACAATGGAGTACTATGTAGCTGTTAGAGAAGATAAAGTCATGAAATTTACATACAAGTGGTACTACATGGAATGTATCATGCCAAGCGAAATGAGTCAGAAAGAGAGGGATAGACATAGAAAGATTGCATTCATCTGGGGGATATAAAGTAACAAAATAGGAGATTAATACCCAAGAATAGCTGAGATCAGCACCAGGAGGATTACTCCATAGCTTAGAGGCCAGCCAGGCATTCTAGGGGAAAGGGCAGCTCAGATAGAGAAGGAAGCACCAAATAAAGGGTGTTTGGAGGATCCTCCCAGGAGGGGAGATGCATGTTGAAAGTAGTCTATGGAATGAACATGATTGCCACTCAATGCCTCTTTTGCAGACCACAACACCCAAAAGGAGAGAGAGAACAAAAGGGAATGCCCTGCCACAGCGGCAGAGTGCGATGGGGGGTGGGGGTGGGTGGGAGGGATACTGGGATCCGTGATGGTGGAAAATGGGCACTGGTGGAGGAATGGGTATTTGATCATTGTATAATCGAACGCCAAGCACAAAAATTTGTAAATCTACAACTGTACCTCATGGTGTTTCACTAATAAAAATTGAAAAAAAAAGACTTTTGTTGAGTTAAAAGAAACTACTCACCAAAAATTATAGTGGGCAGAATTCAGTTTTTCTACAGATTGGAGCCCAAAACTGTTTGGAGACACTTACTACTTTGTTCCACACACTCTGAAACTATGAATGAGATAGAATTCCAGACAGCTTATCTGGTGCTTTTGTAAATTCAATCTTAGTCTTCAATCTTTTCAGTGATTACTCTTGTAGAATCTTCCAGTTCTTCTGGGCTTACCTTTCCTCTTTTAAATTGTACATTTTTTTCTTTTAAGAGGTAATGATTCTTATTCTAGTTATATAAACTTACACTTTTAACAACAAAACTAAAACCAATACCCAACATTTTTCTTACTTTACTAAAATTAAAAAAAATACGTCTTTTGGATCACAAAAATTTAATCATGAGCTAGTGTGGTCCTTGGGGAGTGGCATAATCTCCATGGGGAGCAGTTTGTATTGGATCAGTACTGTGGGCAGCATAGAACCTTTTGAGATATTTCAAAGGGAGGGGATTTAATTTAATCAGAAACTTGAAAATGACTGTAGCTAGAGCAATGGACAGGAACCTGCAGAATCAAAGCAAAGGCAAGTCTTTTTATTTTTTTAAAGAAGGGTTGGGCCACATGTAGCTATGCTCATGGATAATTTCTGTCTCTGCACTGTTAGAGGAGGTCGGAGAACCATATGGATGCTGGGGATTGAACAGGGGTTAGCTGTGTGCAAGACAAATACCCCACTTGCTGTACTGTTGCTCTGGCCCTTAAGACAAGACTTACTGTTTGAGATTCTTCATCCAACCCCTAGCAAAACTACCTAGAAAAATAGCTCTACAAGCCAGGGAAGATTCTCACAAAGCCTATCTACTCTCACCTCTCACCTTGTTTCCTCCCCTGTATAAGGTTGTGTATATATCACTGTATCACTGTCATCCTGTTGTTCATCGATTTACTCTAGTGGGCACCAGTAACGTCTCCATTCGTTGCAGCCCTGAGATTTTAGCAGCCTCTCATTACTTGTCTTTCCCAGTGCTGCCATAGCCATATTGGAGGCTCCTTCAGGGTCTGGGGAATGAGACCCGTTGTTGTTACTGTTTTTGGCGCATCGAATATGCCATGGCTATCTTTCCAGTCTATATGTGTGTGTGTGTGTGTGTGTGTGTGTGTGTGTGTGTGTGTGTGTATAGTCTGAAACTCAACAAATATGGTGTGGTAATTACGGAAAATGGGTAGGGAGTGTCTTATGATGTGTCTAGGAATATGTTCGCTCATATGTGAGGCTAGGCCCAAGCATGTGGAAAGTGGCCTGGAGCATGGCAGAGGTTCAGTAGTGGAGGTAGGCTGCTGGGGCTGGATCCCTTGTGGTAGGGAGGGCTCTCACCTGCTCCCCTCTGGGGTGCCCCGAATGAAAACAGTCTGGTGTGGAGTCCAATGGCATGGTTATGGGGACCTCCTTTCTCATTCTATGCTCCCTTCTGGGAGAAGCAGCCGTGAGTTCCAAAGTATATATGTGTATATATATAGTATATATATGTATATATAGTATATATATGTATATGCATGTTCTGTATATATTGTATATATATACACACAGACATATATATATATACACAATATATATTTGGGGGGTTGAGGGGGTAGGTGGAATCAAGAAGCACAGTCAAGTCTAGGCATTCTCCACATCTTATGCAATTGATGAAGATTTTATTTTATTGTATTTACCAATTTTTTGGTTTGGGGCCACATGTGGAGGTACACTCCTTTCTCTGCATTCAGGAATGACTTCTACCAAGTTTGGGGAACCATACGGGGTGCTGAAAATCAAGCAGGGTCTGCAGTGTGCAAGACAAGCACCCTTTATGCCGCGCTATTGATCCAACATCCCCCAACAACCCGCCAAGTGGTGGCTCTAAAAGCACCCAAGTAGGTAAGCATGCAGGACCATCATCCTTATATTAACTTATTTTTAAAACCTGCCAAGTTACCTGTGCATCATATCTTCAACTTTATAAAGTTTAATCTGCTAGTTTAGCTTGAGAGGAAAAGTATGAAGAGGAAAAGTATGCCCACAGCTCTTCTATACTTCTTGTTGGTGATGAGCAGAAAAGTTTTCCAACTAGGCATTCTTTTGTTCAGTTCCCCATTCCACAGTGAAATGTCTGGTATACTCTTCTATGTTAAATAATTTAGGACCTGGGTGCAGTGGGGGTGAGGTTTGGAGAGCAAGCAGAAAGGAGGTTAGGGACTGGAGAGATTATAGAGTGGATTCAGTGGGTAGAGTGTTTGCCTTGCATGCAACCTACTGTGGCTTGATCCCCAGCACCTCATATGTTCTCCCAAGTCTACCTGAGCACAGAGCCAGGAGTAAGTACTGAGTTCCTCAAAGGTTGACCCAAAGCCCAATAAATGACTAACTTAAAAATTATATGAAGGAAAAAAGAAATCAAAAGAATTATGAGCATAGAGCCAGGAGTAAGTCCTGAGTTCCTCAAGGTGTGGCCCCCAAACCAATAAATAAATAAATTACAAATTATATGGAATGGAAAAAAGAAAAGAGATTATGTACCCCAAATGCTTGATATGGGGCCAAAGTGATAATACAATGGATAGGGCACTTGCCTTGCATGTGGATTCAATCCCTGGTACTCCATATGGTTCCCCAAGTTTTCCAGGCATGATCCCTGAGTGCAGAACCAGGAATAAACCCTGAGAACTGGTGAGTGTGTCTCCCATGCCTCCACTCACAAAAATAAATCCAAACAAAAATGATTAAAGCAGCAGTGGTTAATTTGGAATTTTTAGCCTTAGCAAGCGGCTGGCATCTGGCAGAGAAACCCCATCAAAAATATCTGAAACTTAGAAAGTTTAGGTATTAATGAACAACTCACAAATGACTTGCAATCTCCAAGAAGAGCAATACAATAGCATCAAATAGTCTCAAACCAAGTATTATTATACCTGGAAAATATGAATAATATAGATGGTGTATTCAGAGGGTTACAGTCCTCCTATTACAAATTAAACATTAGTTTTTCAGTAATGGACAACTGCATTCCAATCAATCTTACAAGCTGAGTTTTTATTTTTACTAAATTGTCTATGTTTAAAAAACAATCTGTGCCTGGTGTGGAATTTCACTCCATCAATGTTACAATGACATTTTCATTACAAGCAAGAGAATGAATGTAGGACAGGTGTTAGGAAACATGGCAATAAATTAGGATATAATTTACAAAAGCAAAAAAGCAACAGTGTATCACATTAATACTGAGTATAAAATAATAAGCAACAACTAATTACAATAATACAAAGGTAAATTCATTCTGTATTATTAAGGATATCTATGTGACATTCACTCAAAAAAATTCCTAATGAACTGGACTGTTTGGGGAGTCTATGCTTCTTTAGGGGGTTAATCAGTTGGATTTAATCACATTTAGCTTTCCTTTTCTTGGTAGTCTTTGCACCAGTGGCAGATACTGCTCTCAGCCAAGGGGCACTAGTTTCTTCTAGGGTTCTGTAAGTAGTCTGAGTAGCTCACTAATTTTCGAGAGTCTGTCTCCCCTGACCATCTATTGTTATTTGGAACAGAGCATCCTATAGCCAAGCAGTGTTGTGATATGCTATGGAATAGGATCTCCTCTGTCTCAGGTTTAAATTCAGGCTCTATCTGAAGATGTTTAATCCTGTTACATTCTGGTCTTGGGCACCTTTTCCACAGCCTGGAGGAAGTACTGACTGTCCCCTTCTACTAGCACCAGTTAGAGTGCTGCACAGTGCCCTGGGGAACAGCCACCCCCCTTGATGTTAGTTTTCAGACAAGGTTAAAAAAAGAAAGAAAAAGAAAAGCTTTGAGTATGAAATGTAAAAAACTTTCTGAACTAAAAACATGAGTTGGCATCCATGTTGGAGAAATGCAGATCTGGGTAGCAAAACCTATGCCTGGAATGGCACAAAAATTACTCACTTTTTGTTTATTTCACCAGGGCACATTAGCACCAAGTTTACTGCTCTTTTCAAGGGACCATGGGAATTCAGAGCAGAAGCTGTTCAGTTGTCCTTCTCTAGAGAATTGAGAAGGCACTTGGCTTGGCCTTCCAAGTGCAGTGGAAGGAGCGGCTCTGGCAATAACTCTGGGCCTCGTCAATAACTCTCTCTGGAAAGCTCAGAGATGTGAACTGAGGTGTTGAGAGAGAGAGCAAATGATGTGCCATGGACGGCCAGGACTGAGTATACCAAACCACATCCCGTGCTGAATATCCACCACAAACAGGTTGGTTTTGGAAGTCTTCGAATACCTCTTCCTTTCTGAAAAATCCTAATCCTGCTACACATGGGATATACCTGACATGTGGTTTCAGAGCTCAGCAGTGGGTCTAAGTCAGACATGCTTTTTGACTGCAGCAAGTGTCTTAAAAAGTTGGCCATTTGGTTTGAGTTTAGTATTGGTGGAACAGAGTGTACAGAGTCTTGGAGAGCCAAGCAGGAGTGTTGGACACAACACATTCATCAAGAGCCTGCTGCTAGTGACAAAGATTCAAGTATGAAATGTCAATACAAACAAGCACCCTCTTTTCTTTCTTTTTCTAAATCTTGCTTTCAAATCTCTTGATGAGCTTGATGTGAAACCTGTGCATGAGGGGAAAATGGAGCCAGTCCATTTAATTTAGGTAGGTTGGACCTTGAATTTGACCTGCCTAAGAAACTGGGTTTCACATTTACCTGTCATTCAGAATACTCATTAAAAATACAAAATATTTGGTGGAGTGACTATTAAAATGACGTTTGATAATCTCTAGTCTTCACAAGTTTCTTTTCTTTGGTTATTATCCGTTGCCTACTTTAAAACTCATAGAAGTAGCACAGGTTTGTGCCTGCACATTCACCTACCCACATACTCTAAAGGGTCCACACACACACACTTGTTTTCATATAAATAAATGCCCTTCTGCCATATCAAAGGAGGGACATCTGGAACCCATTGTAATTGTCAGCCGCCGGGTCTGTCTGATTGTTACTAAGCAAAGCCAGTCTCTCTCTTGCATGGTATCACCTCAGTAAGTATGACAGGACACATGTGCAACAATCCAACAGAACAGAAGCCCTTCTAAGGCCGAAGAGGATGTAAACACAATGAATTGGGTGACTCAAGTAAGAACTGAGGCATCCTATGAGATGGCCATAGGAGGCTGGTACTTCCATCTTGACCAAACCCCATGTCTGGCTTCTGCATGAAAACGAACTGCTTTTCTCTTAAAGTTTTAATGGAAATCTCAGCTTCACTTGCACAATGGCAAGTTGGCCACCGTTTTTTAGCACTGAATTTATAGACTTGCACAGCTGCAGTAACTGATGCACTGCTTTAAACTAAGTCCTTCATTGTCTGGTTTAATATAGTTTATATATGGCTCACAGCAGTGTTCAGAACTGGGGTGGGGGTTCCTAAGGAAATTAAGTGGAATGAAGAAAAATAATGCAAACTCTCATTACTTTTGATTTATAATTGCTCCTTAAATTACAGTTCAAAGCCCATTTGAGAATTTCAATTGTGGTGCTATTGCAGTGAGATAAAGTATAGTAAATATTTTTAAGCTATGACTTAAGATTTCTGAATCTTCTTTACTTCCATAGTTGACCAAGTCATAACAGCTACATTTTAAACAGTTTTAAATACAAATGGATTCAGTGTCATTGCTAAGTCCATAATAAAAATTATCTTAATGGTCCAAGGAGGTAAACAGGCTATTGGATTTACTCGAAAGAACACAAACATTCCACAGTAAGCAAGTCTCCCTGTGTTGTTTGGATCTCTCCAATCTGGCATTCCCTCCTAATACCGTGTCCAGCACTTTGGATCAATAAATCCCACTTCATAGAAGTTAAAATAATATTGAAATCCTGTCAGCTAGGGCTGACCAGTGGTTACGTTTTCCACAGGGTAATGCATCTGCAAGGACATCAATCCTCTTCCTCTGGGTGGCTCTCTTTGATGGACACGTTTCCACGATGAAATGACAAGGCTCTCTCAGGCTTTCCATGGGTCAGTGTCCTTGGCAGGTCTTACAACACATCTGTCTGAAGTATGCTCGACTGCAGAACTTGAACTTCAGCACCAGTGGGCAATAAGCCACTTTGTTCACATCTTTGCACTCTAACAAACAGGGACAGAAAATGGAAAACAATTAAGGCATGTAGACAAGTACCTAAACAAGCCCATGACCCTAGCTGGATGTTCAGCAAGGATCCCCCTCCTACACACCACCCATACCTTATATCAATCCTCCTTGGCTTGTACATTCAGGGGTGGAGGGGGTTGTTTTTGTTTTTTAAGCATGTCCTGTCTGGTACAGCCTACCAGAAACCTTCTTTTGATATATTTTAGCACACATTTTTAAAAGAATGATTGCAAGGTTTTTTCTTCCAGACTTTTATAACTATGGTGCATGCCCACTGTGTCTTGAAAGAATTACCATTTGTTGGGATAAGTGATCACTTTAGACAGCTTGGAAACATGAGTCATTTTTCTTACAGTGCTTTTATTGCTTCTTTCTCAAGGGTTATTTTATTCAGCGGTGCAAGGTTATCCAAAATCAAACATGAGTTGCATTGTTTGATACCAAAGTACACATGTCTCCAGAGAATCTCTGCATCTGTGAGGCCTGGGGATGGGCCTGGGTGAATGAAAATCTGTGGCCTCAATTCAGCAACTGCACTAGACAAAGAGGAAAGCTTGGAGGGGCTGGCCTCAAATGGCAGCAGTCTGAGGGTTATGGAAACATGTAGAAATGTCTTTTTTTAATTTGGAAGTGAGACATGGCCTTCTTTTTTCCTATGTGTATTTTCTCTTCAGTGCTAGAATTGCCACAGTTGAAGTCTGTGCAGTTTGTTCAGCCAGAAGGTGAATAAGTGATTCTTTCTCCATCTCCCCTTGGAGGTTGGTTACAGAACATGGCGCTGAGGGGCCAGTGGAAAGGAAGGGATGTGGCCTCTGATTCTCAGTTGCCTACACCACCCCCATCTGAACCCAGGACTGCTAATAATAATATTCTTCTCCAGTCCTTTGATCACTGTTTTTTTTTCTGGGAAATGTAAAATACTTTGTAAACTTAGTAATTAAATTTCCATATACTTCTCAGAATCAAAGGCCCAGCTTTATTCCAGGTAGTTATGCTGAAGCATCTTGGATAAAATGTGTAAGGTAATTTAACATTTGGTAAAGCACAGTGTAAAAGATCATGTTTTGTTATTGTTGTTTGATTCCTTTTCCCACACTCATCAATGCTCAGGGTTTTTCCTGACTCTGTGTTCAGGGATCACTTCTGGCAAGGCTTAGGGGGCTATCTGCAGTGCTGGGTATTGAACCTGGGTTGGCCGCATACAAAACAAACACTCTACCGAACTATTTTTTTTTCAGCCTCAAGATCAGTTTTGTTGCTGTTTCACTTTTTTGTTTTTTTCTGACTTCAGAAATTCACTAAAATTCCAAGAACTCATGTGCATGGTACTTGTGTCCTATAACAAAATTGGAATATTAAATGAAAATAGGGCTGGAGCGATAGCACAGCGGGTAGGGCATTCGCCTTACAAGCGGCCAACATGGCCGACCCGAGTTCGATTCCTCCGCCCCTCTTGGAGAGCCCGGCAAGCTACCGAGAGTATTCGATATGCCAGACACAGTAACAACAAAGTCTCCAATGGAGACGTTACTGGGCCCGCTCGAGCAAATCGACGATCAACGGGAGGGCCTTTTTAAATGAAAATAAATGAATTTTCACTTCTTATAACTGAAAACTAAAGTAACAATTTAAGGAGGGGCAGAAATGTCACTCAGTGGTAGAGCACATGCCTCACATATTTGAAGCCTGGTTTCAATCCGCTCTGCCACCTGCCCTCACTCCCACAGATAATATTTTCTAAATCCAGTCTGAATTGGGTGTGAAAAGATCTCCACATATTTCAGTTTGGAGGTCCTTTGGTACTTCGTCTTTTCCTCTGGCATGACTTAGGAAAAAGTAGACCCCTCCAACTTTTTTTAGACTTGTGGGAAAGTCTAAAAAACAATTATCAGTGCTAGTAAGAAAAATATTTTGTCAAGGTAAATAGAAGTATTAAACCATTGAGAAAGCTGACATGGACTCAAACACTTTGGATTCCACCTCACTCACTTAATGGGGTGGCCCTCAGCAGACACCATCCCTCACTTTCTAACAGGCTGATGATTGCCCAAAGTGCAAAAAAAAAAAGTTCAGATGTGGCCTTTCAAAGTATTAAAACGATGTAGTTGATAAACAGAAAGGAGGACTGGCCACCTGCAGAGCACAAGGAAGTAAAACTAGAAGCAAGCCTGCCTGGGTTTGGTCTTGAGGTTCCTGCTCAGCACTTCAGGGCTGTGACCCCGGCACCAGAATTCTGGCCTAACTTTCTACCTCCCCAGCCCTAGAAGGAATGCGCACGCTCACCTATGATGTGTGTGTCCTGTGGCAGCACCAAGAGCAGCGTTTAGAAGGCACGTAATAGATAGATTATCTATTAGTGTCACTATTACTTATTACTTCTTGCCACCCCATGATAGTAAGTTGCCCCCTGAATATGGACATAATACGACTTTTACGGATCAAATGCAGACCACAGTCAGTTCAAAGACAAGACAAAGAAGGCATTTCCAGGGGTACAATTTTACTGGGAGATTAATGACTCCATTCTTAGAAGAGCTGCAGGACCAGTGACGTTCTGAGAGATGCAAAACACAAGCAACTTGTGGACTTTTTAAATTTAGACTTTGAACTTGGGTTAAATGCTCAATAATAAATCACTGTATCACTGTATCACTGTCATCCCGTTGTTCATCAATTTGCTTGAGCGGGCTTCAGTAATGTCTCTATTTGTCCCAGCCCTGAGATTTTAGCAGCCTCTCCTTACTCATCCTTCCCAATGGTGTCATATTGGAGGCTCTTTCAGGGTCAGGGGAATGAGACCCGTTATTGTTACTGTTTGGGGCACATTGAATACATCACCAAATACGTCATGGGGAGCTTGCCAGGCTCTGCCATGCGGGCGGGGTACTCTCAGTAGCTTGCTGGGCTCTCTGAGAGGCGATAATAAATAGCGAAGAAAAATATCCATCCTTGCCTCCCCCACCCATCCACCCATTCAGATAATTAGATCTAGAAAAAGGAGGGGGTTCTGGTCCTTGAGGGCCCTGGAAATCTCTTCACATGCTGATCCCAGAGCAGTGTTCTCACTTGGTAACTGGCTGCACGTGCCAGGTTTCCTCCCTGAATTTCCCGATACATTTGTCAGCTTAGTTCCCCAACCAGTTCCATTCAGAAGGACTCAATTGCAAGCAGGGAGTGTTTTGGGTCCTGGGAACAGGACCAAGGGGAGGAAGGGACTGCTAAGTGACCCTGGCTTGTGGGTGCCAGTAACACAACTGTGGGCAGAGTAGGAAGCTATGGAGGTAGAAGGGGGTGGTGTACACTTGGCACACCCCCGGGGTTTGCATCTCCTGCCACACCCCTTTACCTAACCTCAGTGATTTTCCTCTGTGAGGTGCAAACATGGGGAAGCACTGTGCACAGGAGTCAGACAAACTGGAGTTCCCATCACAGTTGCTAGTCCAAGACTATTTGTAGCTCAGGGTGAGCTTCTGGCCAAGTTAGCCTCTTTAATGCTGTCACTGGGAGGTTGATATTTTTTTGTACTGTAGGAATTAAGCTTTTACACTTACTAGTGTGTCTAAAAGTACCTTTTTAGTCATGTGATTATACAAAAGTTCGTGAGAAAAAAACAGCTGAAGAAAATCAGAAGAGGTGATTCAGGCTAAGCTGAGTGTCTGTGACTGAGAGCCATTCTGTTCTTTTTTCATAATGTGGAGGGCAGTTTGGTGTTTAGGGTCACACCCAGCAATGCTCAAGCCTCACTCCTTACTCTCTGCTCAGGTATCAATCCAGCCAGAGTTCAGGGGACCATATGCCATATATGCCATGCTGGAGATTGAACAGGGATCATCTGCATGCAAGGCAAGTGCCTTACCCCACTCTTTTCTCTCTCTGCCCTCCCTAGAATATTCCTTTTAAAAAATACTTTCTCCCCTAATGTGGCAGAGCAAATATCCTGCCAATGACTCCTCCAAAGGCTGACTTACATTGGTACCAGTTAAGAACAGTGACATCAGCAGGCAAAAACCTCTCTGCATTTAAATGTTTAAAATGCTGCCAAGGAGCAATAGTATAGCAGGTAAGGTGCTTGTTTTGCATATGGCCGACCTGAGTTTGACCCTTGGCATCCCATATAATCCTCTGAGCACTGACAGGAATAATTCCTCAGTGTAGAACCAGGAGTAATCCCTGAGCTTCATCAGGTGTGACCCCCAAACCAAAAACAAACCAAAAAATGATGTAAAAATAGAGTGGTTTTGGAGTCTCATTGTTACAGAAAGTTGAATATGAATTTAAGGTACGTAACAGTTTAATATTATATTAGTGTCTTTAGTCTTGTTTAGATTAGCTAGAAATGACTTAATTGTTGGGATCCTAGATTGACTTGTTGGCATTTTGAGATGAACTTTAGAGACCTTAATTAGAACAATGAACTTCTCAAAGTCCATTGAAAAGAAGAACTTGTCTATTCTATTATCCACCATCAGGCCAATGCAAGTACCACTTCCACTTGTGATAAAATTATCCTGGAAGAGGTCAGAGAGATAACACTTGCCCTGCATACAGTTGACCCTTATATGATTCCCAGTACCTAGTTGGTCACCTAAGCACTGCCAAGATTTGGTTGTGCTTCCCCTAAATCAATATGGAAAAGCCATGATAAATTAATCTCATTTTCCTACTGACATTAAATAGCAACTGACTATTCTAATTTCTGAATGGTCCTCAGTTGACATTAATTTCTAGATTGATAACATTTACATAAAAACACAACAAGGGCTGAGATATGACTCAAAGGGCTGAAGTATGTCTTTTGTCTAATCCCTGGCAATGTATGTTCCTAAGAGCATTGCCCTGGATCACACCATGATTATCAGGTGTGCCCCCCAGCCCCCAATGCCATATTTATATATACTTGAGTACTATAGCATCTACAAATAAGTAACTATGCTAAAAATATATTCAAAGGATCCTTTAGGTTAAAATCTCTTTG